TCACAGGGCCCACCGCCCCATTCTCCCTACCATCCTCCAGCGCGAGTCCCCAGTCCATATCGGTGTCCACATCCAGATGCACATCCGCCTCCAGCGAATTCCGCTTCGCATACGCGATCGGCGACGGGCTCCTAGACACGCTCTTCGGTGGCGCCCGGTACGAACGACGGTACGCCCTGAGCTGGCCCCGCGTCGGATGGCGATTGCGAGAGCGGCTCCGCGAATCAGAAAAGTCTTCATCCGAAAAGGACCCGCGGGAGGACGGGCGGGCGTAGCGCATCGGCGAGGGGCTCCTTGACAGAACAGAGGAGTGGTCCTGGTCATCCACGAAGGGCTCCGTCATACCCGGGGGGTGCTCGTGCAAGGCCCGGGAGGTCTCTGTGCTAGGGCGGGGTGGCGAGTCCGGGGCCTGCGACCGGATGCTGGCGGATTCCTCGTCGATTTTGGCCGTGGAGGGCGCACCGAGGTTTGCAAGGAAGCGGTTGGGGGGTGGGTGACCGACGCGGGGGGAGCTCGTGGGGGAGGAGGAATTGTAGCCCGAGCCCGAGCCTGGGGCGCGTGTGGATGTGCGACGGGCGGAGCCGGGGGGCGACATGCCTATTGTGGGAGTTGCGGGGGTGCTGTAGCTGCCGGGGAGGCGGCTGGGTGGGGCACGGCGGATGGGGCTGGTGGCACTGCGGGAGCCTGACCCTGAACCTGATGCCAGTGCATCGGCCGAGTGATCTCGGCGGGACCGCGAATGCGAACGGGGGCGGGGGGTAGGGAGGGTACGTTTATGTGGGGCTGTGCTCGTGGATCCGTACGAGCTCGAGGCCTGTGAGCTAGATGCATGGGATGATGAACCGGCGGTGGATGAAGATGCGACGGGTTGTGATGGATTGAGATCTACCGGACGAGACGCCCATGAGCTGGGCACAGCATCAAACGGCGAGCGAACTGCACTGCCGAAGCCTGCACTGGAGCTCGGGCTAGTTTTAGGGCGTTTGACACGTGCGGGACGGGGAACGTGAGGCGGTAGAAGGTGGGAGGAGGGCTGCACTGCGGATGCGGGCGGGATGCGGGGCAGAGGTCGGATCTGGCTCTGATTCTGGTTAATGGTGATGGTGGTGGCGCCAGTGGTAGTAGAGTCCGACGATGCTGATGTAGATGCTGCTCCCGATGAAGACGATGAAGATGTGGCGGCGGCTGATGACGATGATGATGATGATGGTCCAGCCTGCGACTCTGTAGGATCAACGGCCATCGGTTGGTATCGTACGCTCACGGCATGCGGGGCTGTGGTCGCTGCTCGTGGCCGCGATGCGCCCGTCATGAGCACCTTTGACGTCGGTGGGCGATGTGTATTAGCCACTCTCATGGCTGCGCTCTTGCTGCTTTCTACAATGGGTCCCGGGGTGGGCACTGCAGGAAGTGGGCGTGGGTGCGCTAGTGTTGGTTCCTGGGTCCTTGTGGACCACTCCTGCACGACCACCGTAGGCGGTTTCGGGAGAGCGTGCGACGACGACGACCCGCTTGCGGCCACACGGGAGGAAGAGCCAATCTCGAGTCTGCCCAGGCTTGGTTGACGCTTGACGGGCGGGGGTGTCCTGCGAGTGAGGCTGATCTGCCGTGGTCGCTGATGCGGAATGGGGGGCAGGGGCTCGGGGTTGTGGAGGGCCATTTGTGCGATGTACGCTTGCTCGTCGTGGCTGGCGAGCATCTGGGACGTGCGTGGCGTGGAGGAAGGGGGCGATGGGGATGGGGGTAGTATGACTGCCTCCGTGTTTTGACGAGAAGGCGGTTTTGATTCGGGCTTTTTGCCAAACAGGCCCCTCAAGGCGAGGAGTGATGGCTCAGCGTCTTCCACTGGGGGCTGGCGCAGGGGCTCAGGAAAACCTGAGACAGATAGCGCCATAATGCTGATGAAAGACCGGTGAGACCACGGATGGAAGGTAAGAACAGGACTAACAAACTCGTCCAAGCACTCGTCGGGGCTGCTGATGCGCGCGTTGAACTTGAAGGGGGGAAAGAAGAAGATCAGACCGTGGTTGCTCTCTTAACCTTTCGGGGGATATCGAACCCTACGCGAGCTCAGATTGATATCAGGCAACTCAGATTCACCGTAAGGGTGCAGGAACGATGCACTGACGAAAAATTCCTATGCGAATTGGGCACACCCTCCGGTTATCTGCTACCACGATCAAAAGTCAATCAAATGATCGCCCGGCGTGATACCCAGTCCCCGAATGCTCCCTCCCTCTTCACCCTTTTTCTGTGCCGTACGGCAGTATGAATCATCATAAGTACCAAAGACAATGATTACTACTCAAGGATTGGCGTATAGACAGCCGTGGGACGCAGTCATCACCCATGAGCAATTGCTTACAAGGGCCTGGGTGATTGCCATGGCTTCCGACTCCTCCCCTATCAACCGAATTGACAAGGCGGCTAAAAGCGACAGTCAACCAATCGCAGGAACATGCATGAGGGAGTGGGGCCGTCATCCGCATCTATGAAGTGCTACTTAGAAAGGAGGAATGAAGGATGAAACATTGATTGTTATCCCCCAATATTCGGGTAAACGGCCACTATACAGGCAAGATAACCTCTAGGTCCAAAGGAGACAGAAGAGACAGGCATCTTACCAAGGGCTTGGTAGGATCTTGTGGCGCACGTCGAGCCGCGATGGCAGATGCCCTTTATAAATTATGAGCGAGCCTGCAGCTGATCAAGTATTATGATATTTCATGTTACGTGTAGAGTTGATTCCTCAATGATCCCCAGCTTGGGTAAAGCTGCGGCCGTAGATGACATGTGAGACGACATCTCCATGAATATGTCAGTTATAGACACCCCTTTACAACAACGACCTTAGCGCTTTGCAGCAGGGTCGATAAATGTCAAGAGTAAACAGATAACCCAGACTCGTTAACAATCACACCTTCGACGTTTCTGGACCGGGTTTTAGGAATCGGAGGAGCGTACGCAGCGTCGAAGAGATGGTTAGCAGCCTCTTTCCTCTCCGTGTTGCAGATGAAACTGGGAAGAAGACAAGAAGCTGAAGATCACATGGAGGGTCCAGGAATAAGTGGAAAAGCTGACTAATCATAACAACGGTGCGTGCTCATCGCCATCGTCGCACGGCGTTCTCTGCCCTTGCCTTCCCATCCCTTCCCCCTCACAGTCTGCCCAATGCCGCAGCCCACCAACCCACCCACCCAAAACCCACCCGCCGGCCAGAACCCACCCAACGGCCAGAACCCTCAGAACCCTCCCAATGGCCAGAACCCCCAAAACCCCCAAACCTCACCCGCCAACTCCAACTCCAACCCAAACCCCTCCGCCACCACCAGCACCCGCATCTCCATCCCCATCACCGCCCCCGCCGGCCTCCTCACCATAACCCAGCCCCCCCAAACCGCCACCTCCTTTTACAAAATCGCCCCCTCCAACTTCGTCACCTTCGGCTGGAACTTCTCCTTCATCCAGGTCACCCCCACCCACCTCACCGTCAGCGCCGTATGCGAGAACGGCAACACCTACCCCGTGGGCCCGACGGACGGCGTCATCCCTGGGACGGCGACGGAGGTGGTGTGGGATTTGTTCTCGTATCAGCAGAATCACCCGAATACGCCGCTGGCGCCGGCACAGTATACTCTGCAAATATGGGACGATAGGGGCCCGGGGGCGGGGAGGGCGCCGGGGTATATGCAGGCGAATACGGGGCTGAAGTTCGCGCTGTACACGCCGCAGACGTACACGGGCCTCGCTGATGGTATGTTATATTGATTTTATATGGGGGTTTTGAAAATGGGACTGATGTTGGCGATATCTTGCAGGCTGGTCGTGTACAACGTGTAGCGCAGCGTGGTCGGCGTACGCAGCGAACCCGCTGCTCGTGAGCATCTGCGCGACCTTCCTCATCATGTTCCTCTCCGGCTTCGGTCTCCTGCGACATTGGCGCTGAGCATCACACGCGCATCTGTACCCCTGCCTCCACGGAAAGATACCAGCCCCTAGATGGTGCATCATATCACGCGCATCGCCTCGACGTACTCGTACCCCCCTGTTTTACGACGATGATGCCTGCTCCCCACCTCATAGACTCTTTCAGCTCTCTTGGTTATCTTTGCTTCTCTGGTTTTGGACACTATGCATGAATATTATATATACATACAGCACGCACGTACGCATCACACTCGTCTCTCACACCTGTCTCTCATATGCATCTGAATTATTCTCGCCCTCACCCCTTACGCTCCTTACATATACACTTTACTGGACTTTGGGTAATAAGACGTCGATGCTGGTATCTATCGGTGTCCGCTAAGATATGGGAACTCGACCTGCGGATGCATTGGGGTGTCAGTCTCTTGCATGGTCACTTACCCATCTACGCCCATTATGGCTGCTTCGACTTGACGACCGACTTATCATCGTTGAACAGGCCTGATGCCTTGTCAGGTCCTGTGGCGTACATGGATATCGCTGCCCCAACAGATCCGGTCGTACTGTCTCGGGCGCCCTGTTCGACTCAGGGTCTGGACGATCAAGACGATGACAAACAGATTTTGAACCTTGGTTTTTGGGCTGGACGATGAATACACAACATGTTCCTCGCAGCTCTGTATGTTCAAACTTCAACGGGGAGTCTGCATTGCTCGCCTGCCTATCGTCCAGTCCGAAGGGATTTTGACTTATCATCATCCTCAGACGTATTTTATCCCCCCGCAATGAGGACCATTTATTCAGTCTCTTCGCTATGTCCATCACGCCGCCAGGATTCGAGAGGCCTAAGAACTAATCGGCGGAGGACCTGTTCCATTCGCGGACGGGACGATGTGTATCGTACCATGACAAAAGTACACCTTTTTTGATGGAGCTTCTTATTTTCACTTCTCTGCCACCACTCTTCTACAGATCAGTGCATTGTCGAAGCTGACTGGCCTTCGGACTCGGAACACTCGGTGTCGTCGGTGTTCAGGTGAGTTCAACCGACCCCAAGCAGTACCGTTTACCAAGTCTGGTTGCGTAGCGGTTAACGCGCCGCCAGATCTGTGGGATGGAGCCACATGTATACTTGGTGGAGAGTCCTGTTCGACTCAGGGACCAGACGATGGTGACGCTGTATGTATGTCTTTTTTATACAAAGCTCTAGGTTAACGTTCAACCCTGCCTTTCCCTCTCATCAACAAAAAAAACAGTTCAATTCTCGCATTCTCCGAGTCGCATATCGCACTTCTTATCTCCAGGAGGCTCGCGTTCCGATGTCATTTCCAGTTGCCAGGGTGTATATAACAGTCCACGAGCAGTACTCATCACCAAGTCTGGTTGCGTAGCGGTATATCGCCCGGCCAGAAGGTCACTTAGCCATTCACCCAAGACTGTCTCTTCGCTATGTCCATCGCGCCGCCAGAATCTGAGAGGCTTACGAACTATTCGGCGGAGAACCTGTCACATTCGCGGACAGTGCGATGCGTGTTATACCCTGACCAACGTACACCTCGACGAGCTTCTTATCTATACTTCTCTACCACTCTTCTACAGATTAGTACATCGTCGAAGCTGACTGGCCTTCGGACTCGGAGCACTTGGTATCGTCGTGTTCAGGTGAGTTTAACCGACCCCAGGCAGTACCGTTTACCAAGTCGGGTTGCGTAGCGGTTCAACGCGCCACCAGATCTGTGGGATGGAGCCACATGTATACTTGGTGGAGAGTCCTGTTCGACTCAGGGACCAGACGATAGTGACGAAATTGAATGTATTTCTTTTTTATACAAAGCTTAGGTTAACGTTCAACTCTGTCTTTCCCTCTCATCAACAAAAAAACAGTTCAATTCTCGCATTCTCCGAGTCGCATATATATCGCACTTCTTAGCTCCAGAAGGCTCGCGTTCTAATGTCATTTTCAGTTGCCGGGGTGTATATAACAGGCCATGAACAGTACTCAGCACTAAGTCCGGTTGCGTAGCGGTATATCGCCGACCAGAAGATCACTTGCTTTACGGAACCCTTGAATTTCCATTGGCGGGGAGCCCTGTTCGACTCAGGGACCAGTCATGTACCAGCTTTCCAGTTTTCCTTGGTCTGCATCACATTTTGGTTCGGTCTCGTACCTAGGCGTCTGTGACAAGCCATGACTGGAGAACCTGACAAGTCCGGTCGCGCGGAGGTGCAAATGACTTGCCCCTTATTTTTTGAAATTGAAAGACAAAAATCGGTTCACGTCGAGGACCCGAGCGCCAGAATCCAGAATCAACTCCATAATTACAGATCGTATAGAATATTTGGTCAAGAAAGGAAAAGGCCTTTTCGAAAATTTTTATTATTGTAGGAATTTCAAATGCGCTTGCAGAAACGTCGGACTCGTACCTCCACAGTTCCAGGAGTCACGGATGCATCGAGTCGAATCCCGTCAGAATTTATCACTGAGGCCCTTATCACAGCATTTTTGCGTACGTCGCATTGCCATGGTCCATTGGTCGTCGCCGAGTCGTCGCAGACGAAGAGTTCGGTTCAAGGGTTAACCGAACTCGGGCTGAGTCATGCGGGGCAAATTTGGCAAGCTGAGTCAGCGATGGCGGCCTACAAAATCGGCGGAACTCTTCTTCATCCGCTCATTGTTCATATACCCACCCCGCATTTCCGACACTATCAGCACTCTGTATTGCATGGAAGCAGGCCTCGAGATACCCACCAGCACTCAAAACCAAATCACTCCTAGAGAGAAAGGCCCACGGCCTCCGCGCAATCGACTACGAAACGCCAATAGAACGGCTGATCCATTGACGGAGCCTCGAGAAAACGAGCCGCCTAACCGTCAACGTCGGCCATATAGACCTCCTAGAGAAGATGCAGATGGACAGGCGCGATCGAGCCCTTCGAGCTCTCAACCTGGGCCATCACACACGGGGAGCATAGATAATGCGCTGAAGAAACGGACTCCAAGGCGCAGGAATCCCCCAAATCCCACCGATGCAGGCGACGCACGCAAATCGCCCGAGAATGCTGGTGAGACGACGAAAATCGAAGGGGGTAGCCGGCCGCCGCAGCCAGCAGGAAGGGCACCCCGTCGTGGTGCTAAATTCAATGCCGGCCTCACAGAGCCTGGTTCAGGTCCTTCTTCGTCCGACAAACCAGCCAATAAATATAGGAACAAAGCTCATGCGCGAACTATCGAACGAGAAGCAGATGATCTGACATCGCGGTTGACACACGATCTTCGCACACCTCCCTACCCCGATTGTCCCATCTGCTTTTCGTCCATCACTCCAGCGCAAAGGACATGGTCCTGTTCTCCCTCGATTCCTGTCATTCGACCGCCGGATGCGGAGACTGAGGAGCAGCAGTACTGTTGGACCACGTTCCATGTGAAGTGCATCGGCGAGTGGGCGGCGAAGAGTGTCAAGGACATGGCTAATGCTTGGCGAGCCAGAGGTGAAGAAGGGAGGAAAGGTGATTGGCGCTGCCCTGGGTGCCAGGGAAAGCGAGAAATTGTGCCCTCTGGGTATTGGTAAGCTACGATTCTAAATCCTTTTTAGCCACTCCGATTGAACGATTTAACAGGTGTTTCTGTAATTCGACGGCAGAACCAAAGCCTCCGCGTCTTGCGACGCCGCACTCATGCGCCAACCCATGCTCCCGTGTTCGCGAGAGTGGCTGCGGGCATCCGTGTCCATTGCCATGCCATCCGGGCCCATGCCCGCCTTGTCAAGTCACGACGCGTCTGGAGTGCTACTGCCCACAGAAGAAGATTATGGCGTTTAGATGCGGTGTGGACAAGGGCAAGAGACGCGATCTTTCTTGTGGGAGTGTGTGTGGGCAAAAACTCGGATGTGGCAATCATGTGTGCGAGGAGGTGTGCCACGAGGGTCCATGCGCAGCATGCTTGGTGAGGGAGGAGGTGAGGTGTTGGTGTGGATCATGCACGAAGGAGATTGGATGCGGAGAAGGCGAGGAGATTCGCTGTGTCAGCAAGGAGGGAAGTACTTGGGCGGGGAGATATGGATGTGAGGTCAGCTGTCAAATGTATGTGTATTCATATTCCTCTTCCAGTTCCAATTCGCTGAGCTTATTACACCAGTGCTTTCGACTGTGGCATCCATAAATGCGAAGAATTCTGTCACCCACCGCATTCATCCCGAGTATGCCCTCTATCCCCGTCTCTCATCACTACCTGCCCTTGCGGCGCGCATCCCATCGCTCGTTCGCCGTCCTCCCCGCTTCCCCACACACACCCCAAGACCTTCCCCGCCCGCTCCTCCTGCACGGCCCCTATCCCTACCTGTACTTCTCCATGCAGCAAACCACTCTCAGGCTGCGATCACGCCTGCGCTGCACCGTGCCACGAAGGACCTTGCCCACCCTGCGCCGTCCCAATCGTGCGCCCGTGCAGGTGCGGGAGCACCACCCGGGGCGTGCGCTGCTCGGTGCTCCGCGAGTCGACCGAGATCCTGTGTGATAAACAGTGTATGGCCCTTCGCGCCTGTGGAAGGCATCAGTGCCGTCGGGTGTGCTGCCCGCTTGCGACGTTGGCTTCAGCCGCGGGGAAGAAGGGGAAGAAGCGTGCGACGGGAGTGGCGGAAGTGGGAGTCGGGGAGGAGCAGGGTGGCTTGCATGAGTGCGATTTGGTCTGTGGGAAGATGTTAGGGTGTGGCCTGCACGCATGCGAGGAACGGGATCACAAGGGCGCGTGTCCGCCGTGTTTGAGGAGTTCGTTTGAGGAGGTAGGATTTCTGCTGCTTCTACTTTTCATGGAGAGTTATTGATCTGGTTTAATTGTTCGCAGATGGTCTGTTATTGTGGACGCACGGTTTTCGAGCCGCCAATCCCCTGTGGGACGCAGATGCGGTGTACGTACCAGTGCTCGCGGCCGCCCCCGCCGTGTGGGCACCCGCAGAGCCAGCATGCGTGCCACGAAGACCCGAGGCCATGCCCGCCATGCCCGTTCCTCGCGACAAAGCAGTGCGCGTGCGGAAAGAAGATGATGACTAATGTGCGTTGTTCATTGGAGACTGAGAAGGTGTCATGTGGCGCCGTTTGTGGCAAGTGAGTACTTTCTCTCTACCCCTGCTTACAGGATCAGCGGCTGACGATAGATCGCTTCTGTAGGCTGATGGACTGTGGGTTCCACCACTGTGAACGACTTTGTCATGGTGACAAGTGCGGCACATGCACCGCGCCCTGTGGAAAGTCACGGAAACGCTGGTACGTAGTCTATCTCTCCATGCACCCATGCAATCCACTCACCTTATCTTTTGTTTATTCAGTCTTCCTGTACATCATCCCTGCACGCTTCCGTGCCATGCCCCTTCAAGCTGCCCCGAAGACGAGCCCTGCACCTCCCTCATCACACTCGCCTGCCCCTGCGGACGTCTCCGCCAATCTGTCCACTGCGGCCGCAGCACCGCCACGCCCGCCGGACGCCAGCAGACCGCGCCCAAATGCAACAGCGACTGTGCGATCGCGAAGCGGAATGCGCGGCTCGCTGATGCGCTGGGCATCACAGCGGAATCGAGGGAGAAAGCGGCGACGGTGACGTACCATGAGGAGCTTGTGGTGTTTGCGAGGGCGAATGCGAAGTTTTTGGGGGTGGTGGAGAAGGCGTTTGATGAGTAAGTGGATATGAATTTCTGTTGTTTTCGGTGGTTCTCACTCGTTTTCCACCCTTGCAGGTTTGTGACGACGCAGAAGAAGACGCAAGTGCTCCCGCCTATGCCTGCCGACCGACGGAAGTTTGTTCATGATGTACGTTCTTCTATTTAGATCCACAGATATACTTACTGACAGGTTCGTGATAGCTTGCTGCCGTCTACAGGATGGATACCCAGATGGTTGATCAGGAACCCCATAGAAGGTTAGTGCCACTTCATCTCTACGAGTCACTTCATATCTAACAACGCCTCGCTCCCAGTGTCCGCCTCCTCCGCCGTATTGATACACGCGTCCCTAGCCCGCTTCTCTCTAGCACCGTCACAGCATCCGCCCCCACCCAACCCAACCTTGGCAAACTGGCCGATCTGCGCACCACCGCTCCATCATGGCGCGCCAGCCCCGCTCCATCGCCTAAGCCAGGTGGAAGTGGATCGGGGTGGGCAACGCCTGCGCGTCCTGTGTCTGCTGCGGGAACGGGTGGTGTTCCGTCGCTTCGCTTGCCGGCGAGCGGGGGTGGGACCCGTGCGGCGAGTCCGGCACGCGTACCACTACCAGTAGTGGAGGCACCGACGACGCCGATTGCGGTGCCGGATGATTGGGAAGATGATGTGTGACGTGGTGGGCCAGTATTGAAGAGTGTGGGTGTGGATGTAGTGTCTTGCTTTTCGAGTAGTCGAGGAAATCTTGGATTATGTATAGAAGTTTGATAGACGTAGCAATACAGTGACTTCATGATCAATCAGCCTTCGGTCTCCACGCAGATGGCAAACCATACATGCAAAAAACTGTAAGCCCTTACATGAAGTTGAACTAAAAAGTTATAATTGACGTTCGAATCATACATTAGTGCATTAAGAGAGAATCGAACTCCCGGCGGGTCGAATCCAGAGCTGGTGGTATGCGCACACCAATATCATCAATATGGCAACGACCCAGGTTACCACTACCCCATTAATGCATTTGGAGAGTGGGCCCGAGTCGAGGTTAAGCCAAGGTTATACATGAATTGACCAGAAAGGCGCGGTAATACGCTTGTTTAGCTTCTCGTTGGGAATTATGCCATCCGTGAATCTCGCGTCTTGAGGCGAGGCCTTGAGGTTCGAGGGAGAGCGTTTTCCCCAAGTTTTTGCATCGATCGTGGGAATAATATTGCCTTATCTTATCGCTACCGTTACAACAGATCTGAATCAAACGAAAACGGACCTCCGTAGCTAAACGAGTCGGTATCGAAGTCATCTTTCACAGTAGGTTTTCTTACCAAAATTTATGCTATCGCTGACGAGTTATAATGTCAAGGGTAATCATGGCTACAGAGATCATGGAGGCAAAGCGGATCGCCGAGGGGCCTCACATGTTGCACCTTGAGCGTGCTCCAGGACCGGACGGTTCCAAGAAGCTTTCCGCGTCAGTTTTGACGCTCTGCCACGCGCGCTCACAAGATATGCTTCTGGACCCCATTATTGACCGGAGAGTCGAAGTTTCCAAGGGCCTCAACTATTCGATAAATGACATGCTGCCAAACAAGGAGCAACGCGCTTCCATCTTGCACCAGGCTGCACTCCTCGCAGTTCAAACGTTAACGACACACGCCGCAGGATTCAAGAGATATGCGGATCATCCATTGTTTCAATTCCCGCGACGTCGGCCTCTGCCTCGAGAACACCGTACTCGTACTGTCCCCGTAGCGTCCACTCTTGGTGCGCAGTACACCCCCGCTCGCCACGTCGCACTCGTTCGGGAGGCATATCTCACGAAACTGAACCTAAAGGCGGATACCTTTCATGATAGGGCCATTCCTTGTATCAACGACGCAGCTACCAATAACAGCATTCGCCGTGCCCAAACGTCGTTTATGGGGAGTTCAACGCCCCTCCCTTATCTTTACTCGCTCCAGCTCGGCCCCGGTCTGGGTGACATCCTCAAGAAAATGGTGAAGCAAGTGATAAAGAACCATTGCCCGGATCCTACGTCGAGGGGAGGTCTCGCCGGACTTTTTCGAGTCGTCAACAAATCGCATCTTGGCCTAGCTAGACCGCAGGATCACGAAGCCGCGCTCAGTGCGCTAGACTCCATTCTGAGGAGCAGCTTCCTCGACTGTTGGCGGATAAACTGTGGGTACCGCTCCATCGAGGAGTATGCAGCATCGAACCCCACACCGGAGGCGATCCTCGCGCTCGCCAAAAAGATTATCATAAAGCATGCGAAACGAGTCATACCGAAACAGCCGGATCGGTTCCCAGATGATAGCCAGTACTCGGACGAGTTGAGTGACGAAGGGGAGACTGATATGGTCTATAGGAACCACCGCCTACTGACTCGCGATATTATATATATCATCCTGCTCAAGAGTGCGATTAGGGATGCAGATTTCGGGCGCATTGAGGAGTTCCTAGGTGTCATCGCCGTATCGCTGATGGGTGCTGGCATGGAGAATACCTGCGAAGAGATCATGCACTTCCTTTGTGACTTGAAGTATGTGTGGTCGGAGGAGTTCGGGTGCGCCACTATTCCTTCTTCTTTCATTACTACTGTTCTAACCAGTCTGTTTACCCAAGGAACATCATGCGGGATAGCATGATCGCCAATTACTTCAAACAAGGATCCAACGCCATGCCTGCGGATACATCCGTAGCCAGCCTCTCAAACTATTCTAGGGTACGTCCGTCGACAAGATTTTCTGTCACGCTCGCATGTTGACCTCAAAGGTCATATCTAGTTCTTCTACGCTGCACACGGATTCGAGGATGAGTGGCGGGCTCCGAAAAACATGGATGAAGCCATCGGCCTCGTAGACGCTTTTGACGAGAAGCTTGCGATGAAGAATCTCAGAGAACAATTGCAGGCGACAGGGCTTGTCCCTTGATGCCATTGCAAGTTTGTAACGCGACGAGGACCGTACGGATCTGGTATCCTTTGTAGATGAGAATGCTATCACGACTGGTATGTGATTGTACATAGTTCCCGAAGAAGTAGGAAATTTGCTTCCTTAACTTTCATATTTCGGTCTGCTTGTTTCGAGCAAAGTCTTCCCCAAGTGATGTATCTTCATCCGCAGAGGATCTTTCCAAGCAGCCAATGGCCTGTCCGCCGTTCAGACAAGGGGCAAGTCGAGGTATGCTCCAAAGGCGATGAGGGCACAGCATTGTACGATTGATGGCATCATGGTGGCCTTGTTTGCGGGCCTCGACCAAATCGAAGCCAGCGGGACTTGTCTTCCCAAAGAACCATGATCGTCGGTCTCCCAGTCGAAATCTCGTCCCTTTGGTCCAAACCCGGACCACCAACTGCATGTTCTCAGTATACGACCATCGATCTCCCAGTCGAAATCTGGCAAGAGGTTGCTAGTTATTTACCATTAGACCACCTTCAAAAGCTTTATTCCGTCAATCGCGCGTTCTTCAAAATCGCGTTGGAGGCGAAGTATAAGGTTGTACGGTTCGAAAAATTGCAGTCATCCCTTCGATATATTCATTTTTTACGGTAAGCTTCGTCTTTTCACGAGTTGTTGGTCATGTCCTTACCCTAACTTCTACTAGGGATCCTGTGACCTCACAATATGTCCGCTCTCTGCACCTCTCCTCGTGTCGAATTACAGAGATCAGCATGGTGAAACCCAGTAAAGGAGTGCTAGGGAATATATTCAATCGAAGCCCCGACCACCGGACACCCTACAGGATTAATAAGAAATTCGTGAAACAGATGGTGCAGGTCATGCATGGGCTCTCAGCGGTGACCTCGATGGAACTCTGCTGCTGGTACAATCCTAGCCCGGATTTCTTGTCCATCCTCCATACTGGGTGGGTTACTTTCGGGGCCGCTCTACGTAGTCTCACGCTCGAAATTCCCTTGATGAGCTTCCGCCTAGCTATGCCACCTTCAGCTGTGTTTCCTTGCCTCGAAGTCTTGCATTTGACATTTTCCGTTGCATATGTCCGACCGGATGAAGTGGACCCCATGACCTTGATCTGCGAGCTCTTCGCTCCGTTCATTAACCGTCACCACCCGACTTTGCGCTCCCTCCACCTCCACGCACACGAGGATCAGAAATTCGATCCCCTTCCCTTTCTACTGCGTCTACGCCACCTCCCTTGTCTCACAACATTCGGACTCCACTTCGATTTTGTCAACATACAGCAGGCGGACAGCAAGGGTCTCCAACACGTCCTTGACCTACACGCACGACAGCTCCGTGAGCTGTCCCTCCAAATTCGTTCTAGCCGTACTATGCCCCGCAGACTTTCAGACGACGAGTGGTACGGACAAAAAATCCTTCAGGTGCCATTCCCCAAGCTCGCGGTTCTTGCACTCAGGACGGAACTGTTCCCTACCGTGTCCCGGACAGCAGAATATCTGCATCAGTTTGGAGATTCTCTGACCTCCCTGGATTTGTCCGGCACTACCATCTCCAGTCATGATGACGTCGAAGCTCTCACCAACGCTTTCACAAGTCGAGGTATCCTCAGAAAAATCAAAATGTCTGTATACTGTCTCAGTCCACCCCTCCTCTCCATCTTCGCCGCAAAACTACCGGGTCTTGATGGGCTTTGTTTGACGTTCGAGCACATCAGTGCTGTATATCCGAGGTCAAATTTCACATGGCCTCCGGAAGGAGTGAGTAATAGTTCGGCCTTGCATTTGTAGCGTTTACATTGTCTGAACCGACTCTCTGTCACTCTAGTTTGGTGTGGCTCTCAAGCGTTACGACTACAGCCAATGGAAATTATGTTACTTTTTCGGCACGGGGATCGGGGAATGCGGCTCTAGAAGCCTCACAGCATGTGAACAGGGTCTTCAGGCTGCGTTTCCAGGCGTGTATATACGATTAGAGGCAGGTCTAAGATCTCAGCATATATTTTAGAGTTTGACAGCGACGCGAAGCGATATGGATGAGTTCGACTTCAGCTGAAATAATCTGTCCTCTTGCAAGACAGGTATGACATCCATCTACCCTCTCGGCATCTCACGAGGTGTGCATTTCGTATATCGAATGAAGCGTGTGCCTTTGAATTTGATTTATGGCTCACTAGGACGTCTATCTGATACTCGGGGATAAGGTTCAGAGTTTATCCGCAGACCTATTCAACATTTGGAGCGAAATCTTGACGAGGTACACCGTCCTTCGGACCAAGTGTCGACGTACCTGAACCGACTTGGAGCTGAACGGAGTGAACTGGGCCCTTGACCTGAAAACGAAGATGAAGATGGAAAAGTGCACATAACACTTGGCGGAAATCTAGGAAGAATCATTGGTACTCTTCAAACACATGAACGTCATGCACCGCTCAGGGCCATTCTATACCCTGGGTCTCCGCCAAACGATGAGTGGGTGTAAACTGATTATTCAGCGATGCGGTTGCTGCTATGCACCTAGGCCGTTGATATGCTGGATCCTGAGTGCGATCGTGTAAGCCTGAGAAGCTGGTGAATTCGTTCGAGAGATGAAGTTTTACTTGGGAAGTGTTGACTTCCGACGGACCACGGACCTGTACTTCAAAGTAAATGAGAAAACCTCGTGAAAACACTGGGAAACAAAAACATAAATCCAACAGGGAGCCGACTATAAGTCATGGCCGCGCATGTCAAAAGCTCTGATGGAGGTTCAGCGTCCAGTCCCTGGATCGAACATGGCTCTCCACCATATGCATGCGAACGTTGTGCTCACTCAATCATCCGGTGGCGCGATGACCGCTACGCCATCCTAACCGATTTTGGTTGGAAGAGTCTGAGAACGTGGTGGTCCAAAAACTAAGCTTTGAAGTTCGCAAATTGTCCAGCCCCTGGGTCGAACAGGGCTCTCCGCCAGCGGCCAGGGTAGAGTTGATACTCGTAGCCATCAGCAGCAGTAGCGAGATGACCACTACGCAACTGGAGTCCGTGCATATGTGGGGTGGTGGGCAGCGTCTATCGAGACCCATCGACGAGGGCGGAATGCGTGTGGGGTAGAAAGACGAAGAGAGA